GATTTGCACGCGAGATGAATTAATTCTCGAAATTATTTTGTTTATGAATCTGGTATGTGATATTATTCAATTATTACTAGATTGACTGTAAAATTGTGTGTGTTAATAATCATCACATTATCGGTTTAAAAAGTGGAATTACAACTCTTCAAATTCGATAAATAATAAACGATAATAATAATTTTCTATAAATAATAATAATAGTATTATTATTATTCGATAATAACGAATGAGATATCAGCGAATCATTTCTTTGTTAAAGAAACAGAAACGCGTAAGTTAGATTCTCACGTTAAACGCTTACGATCTTCCGACCTTCATTCGATTATATCGTGATAATGATTTCTGAACTGAATTAAAAAGTAATGATAGACATCAGCGATGCGGTGAGAAATTTTTCCTGTTCATGGTCACATGAGGAATTGTTTGCAAAACAAGCTTCCGCCGTCGCGTCTCAGAAATCGAATCGGATTTAATGCTGTTTCAATGTTGATGATTTTGCTCATGTCAGCGAATTAAATTGGTCGTATAAGCAAACCAAGAGATTGAGTGTGATTGCGCAGTAATGTACTCGTGATCAGAAATCAACACAGGCGTGAAAAGGTGTTGATTATTTAGAGATCGCATTATGCGATGTTGTCACATTGCATTTCCTGTTAATCAATTTCTGCTTACAGCAAAATTCCTTGATTAACGCAATTGCGACTTGGTCGAACAACCGTTGATAAAAGATTTTAATATGAATTAACGAAGTAGTAAATGCTTCTTAATTTTGTAAACTTTAATTAACGTTCATATAATGATATACGATTTTCTTTAAAGAAGTTCAGTCAATGTTGTAACAGTTGTAACTGTAAACATTAAGATAAATGACGACTTAACTGAAATGATTGCATTATATACACTAATAATATTTATTGTGAGTTATTCAAATGCAACAAACTAAAACTATTGAAATTCTATTGTACCAAATTCAATACTTTGTACTGCTGTCAAAGTAATCTTACTCTATATTACATCCAGCGGACAATTACTGCGACAATTACTGCGACCCTTTACTTCCCATATTGCATACTGTCTATTTACAATGTATATGTTCAAATGCTAAAATGTACCATGTCTTTCAGGAAATGTGAGCGAGCCGTCAAGCTGCTAGTGTTCCTGAAGCAGAATGCCAAGAGCCTTGTGACAAGAGTACAGGATGACCCGCTGTGCGTCATTGGTCTCAGACTCATAGTCACATAGCTTGCAGCGTTTGGAACCGGGGCGAATCATTCTTTGCAAGTATTATGTTTGCTTTGAATTGCCTACTGTCATGATCTCGAACTACGGAGGATTGGTAAATGTGGTATGAACCTTGTACTAGAAGTAGGGTTACAATCTTGTTTAATCATGCCATTGTCAATTATATCATTGTCAAGTTATTGATTTTCCGATATTCGATTGTATCATTAATCTAAAGCATCCTATTTGGCTCTAGACTTCAAACAGACAACATCTCGCGTAAGCTCCCTGACTTAGAAACTCTGCCCTTAGAATAGCTTTTAATCAAAATTTAAAAGCAAAGAATAGTCCGCAAAATTTTTTTTCAATGTTCATGATTTTGCTCATGTCAGCGAATTAATATGGTCGTATAAGCAAACCGAGAGATTGAGTGTGATTGCGCTGTAATGTACTAGTGATCAGAAATTAACACAGGCGTGAAAAGGTGTTGATTATTTAGAGATCGCATTATGCGATGTTGTCACATTGCATTTCCTGTTAATCAATTTCTGCTTACAGCGAAATTCCTTGATTAACTCAATTGCGACTTGGTCGAACAACTGTTGATTAAAGATTTTATTATGAATTAACTAAGTAGTAAATGCTTCTTGATTATATAAACTTTAATTAGCGTTCGTATAATAATATAAATTTTTTTTAAATAGGTTCAGTCAATGTTGTAACAGTTGTAACTGTAAACAATAAGATAAATAACGACTAAACTAACATGATTGGATTATAAACAATAATAATATTTATTGTGAGTTATTCAAATGCAACAACTTAAAAACTATTCAATTGTACCAAATTCAATACTTTGTACTGCTGTTAAAGTAATCTTACTTTATATTACATCAAGCGTACAATTACTTGATTTGTCATGTGTTGACGATTTTTCGCATATTGTGTACTGTCTATTTACAATGTATATATTCAAATAAAATGCAGGACCCAAGTATACCGTGTCTGGTCCACTTACTGGCAGGCTGTCTACCGTAACTCCCTTACTTGTGTTAGCAGCTACTGCGTCACTTCCGTGACGTCACTATAGCATGCCTATATAAGCTCCCAGAGCAGACCTTCAGTCAGTCTTAGGCAGTCACAGGCGAGACGTAGTAAGCCATCATCATGTACTCAGCAGGACGACGCCAGACTCCGGCGTCGAGTAGCCTCCGTCGTTAGAGTAACCATCTAAAACCTACCTTGTGTTCTAACCAAGCTTCCTTGTACTCCTATCTAGTTCGTAAATCTATAATAAGAAACTCGCCTCTCAATCAACATGCCGCTTATTCGGACCCTAGATAAAAATCCCTTGGACGCTCAACTCAAATAAACCTAAGAAGATCATCCGGTTATTAATCAATACTGAACTTTGAGATAATTATATATTATAGGGCCAGTCAGACCTAATCTCTTCCTGATAAACTGACGCCCTCATATTATAAATCATTGCGTCAGTCAAAAGATAAACCTGACATTACCCGGAAATGTTGGGAACGACTTCTTCAATCCTGCGGGTACGCAGCCGTGCACCACTAAATTTGTGCACCAATCAGCCTGGAAAGGAACGCCTAGCATATTTCCGGATGACCACCAATCAGCCGCGGATTAAGCCATCCGTCAGTAACCAGCCCGTGACATCATCTTGCTTTAAATATTAGGAGCTTTACGCCACCATATTCTGACGCGAATAGCCCAGAGAGTAATGGTTGTCCACCACTGAACCTTGCATCGAATCATCATTTCATACCCTGACTTTAGCTCGAACTGTAACTTGCGGACAACGGAATGCGACCAACCAGCCCAGGTCGCCAGTGGAACTGCATGCATCCTGCCGTGCACCACCAGACCGTCACTTTTAGCTCAACATCCGGGGTTAGGTTTCAGAAAGCATAGTTCTGTTCCAAACTCTATCGTCCGCCGGCGAGTGACTTCCGCAGCTTCGCTAAATCGTCACTTCCGTGAAGTCACTATAGCATGCCTATATAAGCTCCCCGAGCAGACCTTCAGTCAGTCTTAGGCAGTCACAGGCGAGACGTAGTAAGCTATCATCATGTACTCAGCAGGACGACGCCCGACTCCGGCGTCGAGTAGCCTCCATCGTTAGAGTAACCATCTAAAACCTACCTTGTGTTCTAACCAAGCTTCCTTGTACTCCTACCTAGTTCGTAAATATATAATAAGAAACTCGCCTCTCAATCAACATGCCGCTTATTCGGACCCTAGATAAAAATCCCTTGGACGCTCAACTCAAATATTATTATTAATCAATACTGAACTTTAAGATAATTATATATTATAGAGTCAGTCAGACCTAATCTCTTCCTGATAAACTGGCGCCCTCATATTATAAATCATTGCGCCAGTCAAAAGATAAACCTGACATTACCCGGAAATGTTGGGAACGACTTCTTCAATCCTGCAAGCTCTAGGGTGAGTTACGCTACTTGTTTGTGTTTGATATTTATTATGAGTCTGGCTGTATTGCAATGTTTGTTACTTAATTTTCCAGCCGGTGTAATTTTGAAAATTATTTATTTTATTTTGCTTCAGATATCATGGCTAATGCTTCTTAAAAAACAGCATAAAATTTACCCTAAATGAAACTTTTCATGTTCTTACACCCAAATATTGTCAATTCCCAGTTATTCATGTAACCTGAATTCAGCCACCATGTTGCCTGAGAAATGCTGCCCGATCCCTCGCCCCAGTCCATGGTCGGTTCTGTGAACTCCGAAGCTCCCTGTGCTCCCGGTGGTCTTGTAGTGACTCGAATTTACATCTCGCACTAGTATTTCCCTTGTATGCCACAATTAATCTTCAAACTCGTGATTATCGACCTCTGTAACAATATCTTACTTAATTATCTTGATCTCGATTACGTATTTCGGATTTAATCAATTTCATCATTAAACCATTATAAAAATATCCAGTCAGTTAATCATCAATTTTGAGCACTAACAACACTCGTGTAATTACTGAATGATAGAAAGTTAAGTAAATGTCGAAATTATTTTATGGTAAATCGTACAAGAAAATATTGTTAAATTTCTATAAATGCCAGTGGAGAACCATCTACCAAGCGCGCATCGGAAAGCTAAGCATTTTCTAAACGAGGCCGTGGGGTTAACATCTATTCTATACAGACTATACTATACGGGGTGAGCTGCTAAGTCCTTCACTAGAATTAAATTCTTTTAAAGTAATAGATTATTTCATGTAACTGTAATAACTGAATTGCTAATTTGTGTTTTGTATTCTTTTGATATTGTTATTCCATTGTGTTCATGTCTTGTCGATACTAACGATCATCACTGATATAGGTGTTGATCGGCGGATTCCTTCTGCAACCCCAATAAACTAGGCCTATGTGAGCTTCACAATCTTCACTCCAACCTACTCGATATAATACCATCGATCAATTAAAGGAGGGACGGCAAAAATTTTATTCAATTTCAAACACTGTTAAGTAAAAAAAATAAACACACCCTCCAAAGTTTTACTTGTGGTGCGGCGCTGCCATCAGTGTGTCAAGCAGCGCTCTGCGGCAGCAGCAGGTCTACAACAGCTTCTTCATCACCGTAACGTCTCCAGCCAATCTGTCCTCATCACTACAATGTCATACGAACCTCTCCCCGAATCTATCATCTTCAATTCACTCTTCTCCCGTTAATATTCCGCCGTGTTCGTCAATTGCTTCATCTTACACGTCCAGCTTCCCTGGAGGTGTAAGCACCATGGCTCCCTCTGTGAACAACTCCCTCAGACCGCAGCTCGCGCCCCCACCTTACACTTCAACCGCCATGAATGTCCCCAACATCCCTATTTCTGCTCCTCTAAAAGTTGCTGCGTGCAGCGGAGGTGGCATCTCGAACACTTCGCTGCCACACATCTCTCAAGCTCCTAATATAGTCGCTTCGTCCAGCCCTGCTGTTATTGACAGCAGCAACTTGAGCCTCCAGTCTTCCTCGCCATGTACCTCCACAATGACCAGCTCTTCTTCTGTCCTTGCTGCCACTAGTGGATCAGCTACTCTTCCTGATGACAAAAGTAAAGTCATGAACTTCATCAAGCAAGAACCTATGGATATGGACGTCAAAAAGGAGCCCTCGTCATCTGAGGGCGCTGATGTCAAAGTCAAGATGGAGATCAAGACCGAAGTTAAAGATGAGCCGACTTCACCTGAGAGCGACTTCTAATAAAGCTTGTTGATGGTCTCTGATGCTCCATACATCTAGTGCAAGTGTGCGCTGGTTCGTGAAATAATTGATCGTAACTTAACATCACAACATGTTTGTGGGAAACCCGTGATTGAATCAAAATCCGTTCCTAGCAGCTCAAAATAATATGTTGAGTTGCAGATTACTTGGCTTGATACAGTGTGTGTGTTCCAGACATGTGTAGTTTGTTTTTTTGTCATTCGAATGAAATAAATTTTAGGTACATGTACAAATCCATCATGCATTATGTCCAGCGCCCAATTGCGCCCGTGCAACTGTTCTTGTGTCCTGTTCGATCCTGGGGCATTTGATCTTGGGCTGATTTGATGTCAGACGGTTTACTGTGCGCTGCTATGATGCCGGTCGGTTTGATCGTGGGCTGGTTTGTTACCAGGCGCTTTGATCGTGGGCTGGTTTGAAGCCGGGCGGTTTGATGCCAGGCGCTTAGATCGTGAGCCAGGCGTTCTGATTCGGTGGATGGATGCTGGCGACTTTCTGGTGTGTTGAATTGATGCTGTCAGCAGGTGCGTTCGATTTTATGTCTATTTGTGTTGCATTTCAATCATACATCTAAATTTGAATATCTAAGATTTTTCCTGCTTCAGAAATTAATGTTGAAATGTAGATGAGCAAAAAAATTGTTTGTAGTTTGGGATAATAATTGGTGTATACATCATAATAACTCATAGTTTTATGTTACCTGCAAATTAGGTGAGGCGGTGATTTCTTAGTTAAGGGTGTGTATTTGCTTGAGTTGTGCATATCTCTTCTGACGAGTTAAATGTAATGCTCTTACGCACGTTTAGTGCTAATAAATGTAAGACTCTTACGCACGGTTTAGTGCTGATGAATTGATGAATGTAATGCTCTTACGCACGGTTTAGGGCTAATGAATGTAATACTTTTACGCACGGTTTAGTGCTACTAAATGTAATGCTCTTACGCACGGCTTAGTGCTAATAAATGCAATGCTCTTACGCACGGTTTAGGGCTAATTCCGAACAACCGCAACCGTCTGTGCTTGTCAGAAGTCCTATGGGAATTCGTATTCCTAGGGAGCATTGTTCCTGAGCGCCCCACCGCGAGCTCGCGGTGTCGGACTACGGGTCCCAGTTGTGGGGGTTAAGTTGTTATGTAGGTAGGATACCTTACATTCATTAAGTTATTCTGTAGGTAAGATTCCTTACATTGAGTTATTGTGCAGGTAGGATTCCTTATATCTCCTTTCTCTGTCTCGCGTGAGGGCGGCCGATGTCACGTGTAAGTGACCTCTTGTTCAAGTGTCTTCGTTTCTGTTGCTTTTCACCTGTCCCTTCTTGTGACTTCGTCTCTTTGAGATGCCAACGCTGCTTCTTTCGAGCCAGCTTCAGCGGGCTGGACATCTGAGATCTCCTGCCCTTTGTGGGTGATCAATTTGACTTAGAATAATTGAGATCTGCCGGCGATGTTATCTTTTTTTACCTCCGATGCCAAATAGCTTGTTAGCTGAAGCGCTAGCAAACCATCCTACTACAACTACTTGTAAGTTTTTGTATCTTACGTGCACGAGTGGCGAACGAGGGAATTCCATTTAATATAGCATAGTAGTTTTGATAAGGCCTAATTGGGCTGTAGCCGATTCTTAACAGCCCGGCCACCTTGCCGATTTTGACCAAAACTGTCGCAGGAAGCAGGAATGTAACCCGGAACTAAACTGTCGCAGGAAGCAGGGATGTAACCCGGAACTAAACTGTCGCAGGAAGCAGGGATGTAACCCGGAACTAAACTGTCGCAGGAAGCAGGGATGTAACCAGGAACTCATTGCTCCTATCCTGGTAGTCTGAACTGTAACCACTGGGCCACCCTGCCTAGCAACGTATCGAGATGTTACGTTAGATTGGCTCACAGGTGACAGGACTGTGTAGCCATGTTACGTGAGAACTCAAGAGAAAGTTTTTGCTATATTCAACCACCCAGCGTCGTTAATAAAAATCTATGTACAAAGCTTGAATAAATTTGCTACCGAAGTTTTGATGCTGGAATTTGGAGCGTGATTAACCTTTATTTGTGTAACTCTCTGGCTCTAAAAAGAATTTGTAGATATTTGGCAATGTTTCAGACCATTTAGCTGTTACAATAACATCACGTGAGTAAATTTTGAGAAATACTGGCGCAAGACAACCTTTTAGAGTTGGTGTGTTTATATATAACCCAAGAAATCATGGCTATCTCGTGTTCAATGAAAATATAAATCGCTGAAGTAGGAAATTTCCAATCTTGTACTTCCATTGGTCATTGGAAATATGAACAATTGAACTTTGATTAATATATAAAAGTATTCAAAAATTTATTTTCATTATCATTTCCATTGTTATTTTTGTTTGGAGCCGAGTTTGTTGTAGTTGTCAGAACTGTAAGAAGTTGCTTCTCTGTCCACCTCTTAAACTATGAATGGTAAATATTTAAGACCTGAGGGTTGGTCCGGTTATAGCGGGATTCGAGGATATCGAAGAACAGTGTAAACTATTATATAGTATTATTTAGGATTAAAGTTCGGCGCACAGTTTAGGATGATCTATGTTTATAAGTGTGGAGCTTTAACATTGATGTCTTCGGCATCCAGTTGAAAGACGGATATGTCTAGAGTATATCATATGGTCCTCTAACTCTTACGTTAATTTAAGGTTACTGTCCTGTTTGACATGGACAGGAGCAGGGGTATACCGACAGCGGTCCTCGCCCAAGACTGAAGTTAATCGCTTGAGACAGAGCTCCGTTATGCCGTGGTCAGTCTCCGTTATGCCGTGGTCGAGAGCGGACGCTCGTGCTCGTGGTCCCAAATTTCTAAATTTTTAACTTTTTACTGTGCCGTTTTCGGAACTCTTTTCGCATTTTTTTATGATCCGTGCCAGAGAATGACCGAATTTTAGTTCAGTTCAGTGAAGTCAGTAAAAGTGAGTGCAAATAGAATGAACAAGCCAAACAAGTGAAAGTGTTTTCATTTTTAAATAACGCCGACCTGTAGAGTCAGTGAGGGTTACCGCGCGAGGGTAACGCCCACGCCCTGGCCCACGCGGGACAATAAGCCTTTGTTCTCGCGCCTACCTCTTCCTAGCCTAGCTCTTCCCATCAACACCTAAGCCGTTGAGATCGCCGCTCTCTGAAAGCCGCTTGCTCTCAAGTCTGTAACAATTTTGAACAATCAAACAATTTGTACAATTTTTACTCAACTTGATTTCGGTTTTTAACTTGTGTTTATCTAGCTCTTGCTGCACAGAGCTAGGCAGTAGCGCGCTACATGTAGCGGCCGCTACATTTTCAGTAGCGGTAGCGGCACTACATTTACGGCAATGTAGTGGTAGCGGTAGCGCCCGCTACATATTTAAGTAGCGATACGAGGTTTTGCCGCTACAGCGCTACCGCTACATTTATAGATAAAGCCTTTAGATTTTACTTAAGGGGGGTATACCCTCCGGAAAAACTTCCACATTTACTAACGGATCTTTCTGAAATTTCACACATATATGTAAAACCAAAATACAAGAACATTTTGTTCGTATGATTTTTTCGGAAAAATTAATAGAAAACGTGAAATTTATAGAAAACGGACAAAAAGGGGTACTGCAGAAATCTATCTCCTCCTAGGGTTTTCAAGCTACAACATTGAGACGCATACCATTCGATGCGTAAAGACCATACCTATCGAGTTATCGAGCTCTTTTTTTATTTTTGCCTTAAATTTTTTACACGCATTTTTCCGTTTTCTTCTCATTTTTTCTCATTTACTTCAAATTTTCCCCCTCCCCCTCATTTTGAATCCAAACTATGCACAAATCTAAAAAAAAGCTCGATAACTCGATAGGTATGGTCTTTACGAATCGAATGGAATATGTCTCATCGATGTAGCTTCAAAACTCTAGGAGGAGATAGGTTTGCCGTGGCAATAAGTGTGAATGTTCAGGAGAGCGCGACAAAGCCCTGAGCGCATCGCAATAGGCACTCAATGTAGCAAGGATACAAAACTAAACTTTATAGGAGATTGATTCCAGTCAAGAATGGTGGGAGCGACTGCATGCACACCTCCTCATACGACGCCAGGCGGGTAACTAAGGTGCACCTCAAGCCGACACTCTATTTAAAGTGCTCGCAGCTGTTTCACCTTCCCTACATGGATGTCTACTTGAATCTATATATAAAAATCAGTCTTTTATTTGTATATATATATGGATACTTTTTGAGATTGGCAGATTAAAGTAGACATCCATGTAGGTAAGGTAAAACATAAAAATAAGTAAATAACTAACTTCTATTTACTGTGTCTAACCTCAGTAACCAGTACTAGTTTGGTTAGGTTAATTGCAATAAAGTTGAATTGATATGTTTTGAAAATGTTTTATTCTCATTTAATGTTTATGAGTAAATCCCAATAGCAGAACAATAAATATTAAGAGATTTCTAAAAATTTTGGTCATTGTAGCGGCTAATGTAGCGCGCTACATTTTACTGTAGCGGTAGCGGTAGCGCCCGTTACAATCTAGTGGATGGAGCGGTAGCGGTAACGCCCGCTACATTTAGAGCATGTAGCGGTAGCGGTAGCGGCGCTACATTTTAAAGTAGCACTGCCCAGCTCTGTTAAATAACTTGCATTTCCCTCGGCAGCTGCAGCTCAGCTGTTTCTCAAGCCAGAATTTTCAAGGGAACTTTACTATACTCAACTCAACTCAGTTTTGTATGTTTCTCCGTCATTTTCGGTATTTTTCTCCGTCCTTTTCTCCGTTCAAGAGAACTAGTTTGCGCATTTAATAATTTAATAATGGCTGGACAGAAAATAAAAAATATAGTCGAAAAGCCCTCTACGGCCTCTAGAGAAAAGCCGTCTACGGCCTCTAGAACACAAAATAAAACCAAATCAGCCCAGCTAGAGATGAAACTTTGCAAGTACTGCAAAGAGATCTCTTTGAGCGAAATCCAGATGGTCACCTGCGAACTATGCGAAGATCTCATTTGTATCAGCTGTTCGAAGTTGAGCTCTAAGGAGTACACATTTCTCCAGAAATCTAAATTGCTTCATTGGTTTTGCCGTGATTGCGAAAAACCAACTCTTGGTGCTCGAAAAAGAGAGGAGTCGGTGGAAGAGCACTGCAATGAGTCGAAATTGTTGAATGATGTAGTAAGCTCCTTGAGTGAGATGGTGCGCTCGCTGAGTGATAAACTGAGCTCGCTATGCAATGAGCTGACTGAAGTGAAGACTCAGTTGAAAAATACGGAAGAAATGGAAGTAAAGAACAAGATGTCTGGGACATGTAGGGGTAAAAGCTTACCTGCATCGCTTCAAAATGTCAGACTCTCCACTGTGCGGGAATTGCAGAGTGGAAGAAACCATCGATCACTTCTTGCTAGAATGTAGCAGCTACAGGGATGCTTGTCAACTAATGAGACAGACCTTGGAAAACATTGGCATTGAGGAGCTAACAGTGCGTGCACTGCTTGGAGGTGAAGACATCGCAAAACGGGAGCAGCACCTCATTATCGGGGCGTTATCTGCATTCCTCGCAAGCACCGGAAGATTGGAAACCCTGTGAGGTCACAATAATTAAAGCAAACAATGAGGCCCCAACTGATAATGCAACTACAAGCCTGAAATAAATTGTCATGTCCAGGTGTGACAACCGACCTGTGTGAGGTCATTTACTACACCTCAAAGAAGACATCATCATCATCATCATCAATTCTGTGCGCTAGTTTCAGGTCAGTATCAGCAAGGAGAATGATTGGGATTGCATGTAACCTCAGTGTCAGAGGCAACAGAGTTGCAGTCAGTATCAGCAGTTGCTTCTTCAATCAGTTCAATGGGAGGCTCAATTGCAACATTGATTTCAAAATCATTATCATCATCAGTTTCGTCCTGAAGTATTTGTCATACCTCGTCCACAGTCAACCTGAAAAAAGAAACATCTAATAAGATTATTTAAATGTTTGAAAATATCACTCAAATCACTTCTTGCAATATAACCCATAACTCGTTACAATGATTTTTAGTTGCTGACAATTTATTATAAAGCATATCTGAATTTACATATAAACAGGCCAAAATTATCATGGATAGTTTTCTAAATATATATTTTGGAGCTATACAGAATAGCAAACACCTGTTAATTTCTCATTATAATATTGTATGACACAAGGTGAAAGCAATTAAAATAAATCTAAGCACATCATGTATAGTCAGATGGGGGAAGACAGGACCAAAATCACTAACAAGTAACAAGCATGTATAGCACCTATACCATGAATAAATGAAAAACCTTGAACCTACCAAATGGTATGTTGGTGCAATGGACTTCTATCCCCCAACTCAGACTTTTTGGAAATTGAACCCTTTTTTGTACAAAGAAAACAAAGTGGGCTGGTCCCATCTTACCCCACTGGCCACTGGGGTAAGATGGGACCTTGTTGGGGTACGGTAAGACAGGACCAGACTCTAACTTCAATATTTTTAGGTTTTTAATCAAATTAAGGACTTGATATTTAATATTATTCATCTAGAAACATGTTAGATAATGGAACGACAAAGAAATCAATCTTTTTAAATATTAAAATGGTGCTTACAGATTATTATAATTTACTGCAGGCATTGTGTCTGTTGCCATATATATGTATTTCATTACCAAGTCCTTCAGTCAGTCCATTACCAAGTCCATGGTTGTTGGTCTAATCTTGGCGCTATCTTCTTTCTTAGATTTTTTGAAGAATGGCTGCAGCCTCTATATCAGGAAACTGAATAAATTTATTTATGAAATTTGGGCATACCGTGCCAAATGGCACATATTAAATGCTTACAAATTGTATCTCCTTCTGTGTTCTGCTGTCCCAGGTCCAGCTAGAAATGTTGGATGGGTCACTTGTTATTGTTTCCTTTTGTTATTGTATTGTTTTGTTTGTTATTGTATTGTTTTATTTGTTATTGTATTGTTTTGTTTGTTATTGTTTAAAATGTATTGCTTTTTATTCCTGCGAAAAGGAAGGTGATGACTGATGAGTAACACTGCATGCATATATGATCCCTGTTTTGGCCTCCAGTCCTCCACAAAGTTACTTTATAAACATAAAAATTTGTTATTTTGAGCAGCAGATAAAAATTTTATTTTAATACTCCCTATATATGTCTGTTGAATAATTTTAATCTATGAGACAAGATAGGACCATTTGAGGGTAAGACAGGATCACTTGTGGGATGAAACAGAACCATTTGGTTGGCCCATCTTACCCCATGTCTGGTCCTTTTTTACCCCATTTTAGAATGCACATCAGGCAGTAAGGGTAACTGGTAGGAATGTCTGGTATGGCTCAAAAGTTACTTCTTACTTGAGGTTACTTGAATACATCCACAAACCTGGCAAAAAAATATTGTCACTAGACAGAGCTTATTTCCCAAATAAGGATAACTATTTTCTCACCTATCTCCACATTTGTTTAAAAAAATTGCTTAGAATACATCATTTGCAGTACATTGTTGAAACAAACGCTAAAATGACAGGAAATAGTTGCTCTAACAGATTCTTAAATCAAATTGAACTCGGTGCAATCAGTATGCATGTCATAGGCCAGTCCTTTCTTACCCCATGAAGGCTGTGATCCTGTCTTACCCCATCTGACTATATAACAGAAAGTGCCACAACATTCATGTAGAGCAAAATCTTTATTTTATATCCTAACGGGCACATTTGTCCCCAAAATAAACATTTTACTATATGCATTCCGTATTATCAGCATTATTAATTATTTGTGATTTATATGCAATTGGTGCATTTTCCAGCTACAAATTCCAATCATTGGATGTAGTAAAATGTTTTCAGTAATTGAGGTACATACGTTTTTCTCAGGCGTGGTGGAGTCATGTTATTTACACCTCTTTCTTGGTCAACGTCAGTCGGATACTACGCATGAATGCCTGGTTGCAGAGAAACAAAACATGTTCCATATATGTTCTGAACCTTCAGAGTACACGCCTTATCAACGGAAAATAGCTAAATGCAATGTCTTTACTTTTACAGCCATTTTTATTAGCTGGGCACATAGGGAGGGCAAGCAGGGAGGGAGGGCAACTAAACAGTCTCTTGTTTGCTGCTATGCTTTAATAGCTTTAATATGTGCAACTGGTATTGCCTGACTTATAATTATTATTTGTGTGACTGCAGCTTACATTATATTTACTCACTTGTGCTCTTCTCTTTCCAGACTCATAATTATAAATGTTAGTTTAGTCTTCTCAATTGACTAAAGGACTAAATTTCAAAAGCTCTAATTGATGCTACAGAGAAGCTGTTACTTGCCTGGTTTGGCTCCATAATGTGTAAGTATAGTGCAACCTAAACTCCATTGCAATTCAATTGTTCTATTTTGTCTCAATATACTTCTATTTTGGATGTGTTGTCATGAGCAAAAACAATAGTGACGAATACCTATCAAACAAACATAGAATGTAAAATTATGCAAATGTTGAAAAAATAGGGATAATATTAGGAAAATCTATTAAAATAGTAAATGCTGTTCGTCTCGGCAGCATTGGGTCACCTTGTAGAACAGCTGGAGCAGATACAACAACTGGATGTACATACAAATGCAAACGCTGCCTGCTGGCATGTCCCCAGTGATGGAAGGAGGCGGTGGCCCCATGGTCCCAACCAGTTCTGCGGTGCCTAACCGACCTGATGGGGTGCAGGGTGGACTAGCTGCCGCTGGCAGTGGTGCGCAGCCCAGAGCAGCAGCAGACCCTGAGAAGCGCAAGCTCTTCCAGCAGCATCTGGTGCTGCTCCTGCATGCGCTCAAGTGCCGGCACAAGGAGCAGAGCAATGGAGACGTCAGGCAGGTGATATACTTTTTCTGAGTGGTTATTCAGGGGCCATTTTAGCATCAAGTACCCAACCTTTGACCATTTTAGCATCTAAGTACCTAACCTTTGACCATTTTAACATCTAAGTACCTATCCTTTGACCATTTTAGCATCCAAGTACCTAACCTTTGACCATTTTAGCATCCAAGTACCTAACCTTTGACCATTTTAGCATCTAAGTACCTAAACCATTGACCATTTTAGCATCTAAGTACCTAAACCTTTAACCATTTTAGCATCTAAGTACCTAACCTAACATTAGCAGTAACATTATTCTCCTGTTTCAGTGCAACCTGCCCCACTGCCAGACGATGAAGAACGTCTTGTCGCACATGTTGATGTGTCAAGCTTTCAAGACGTGCCTCGTGCCACACTGCGCTTTGTCTCGTCAGATCATTTATCACTGGAAGAATTGTGGATGTCTGGAATGTCCGGTTTGTGAGCCTTTTAAGACTATTGATAAAAATAAACAAAATCCAAACAATAATAACAATATGGCTGCCAATGCTGCTGCTGCTCCGGGCATGACTTGCCATCAACAGCAACAACAGCAGCAGCAACAACAACAGCAACAACAACAGCAGCAACAACAACAGCAACAACAGCAGCAACAACAGGTCCACCCTACAACAGGAGTGCAGGGTGGACCAGCTGCCGCTGGCGCCGGAACGCAGCCCAGAGCAGCAGCAGACCCTGAGAAGCGCAAGCTCTTCCAGCAGCATCTGGTGCTGCTCCTGCATGCGCTCAAGTGCCGGTGCAAGGAGCAGAGCAATGGAGACGTCAGACAGGTGATATACTTTTTCTGAGTGGTTATTCAGGGGCCATTTTATCATCGAGTACCCAACCTTTGACCATTTTAGCATCTTAAGTACCTAACCTTTGACCATTTTAACATCTAAGTACCTAACCTTTGACCATTTTAACATCTAAGTACCTAACCTTTGACCATTTTAGCATCTAAGTACCTAACCTTTGACCATTTTAGCATCTAATTATCCAACCTTTGACCATTTTTGCATCTAAGTACCTAAACCTTTGACCATTTTAGCATCTAAGTACCTAAACCTTTGTCCATTTTAGCATCAGAGTACCTAAACCTTTGACCATTTTAGCATCTAAGTACCTAACCTTTGACCATTTTAGCATCTAAGTACCTAAACCTTTGACCATTTTAGCATCTAAGTACCTAAACCTTTGTCCATTTTAGCATCAGAGTACCTAAACCTTTGACCATTTTAGCATCTAAGTACCTAACCTAACATTAGCGGTAACATTATTCTCCTGTTTCAGTGCAACCTGCCCCACTGCCAGACGATGAAGAACATCTTGTCGCACATGACAATGTGTCAAGCTTTCAAGACGTGCCTCGTGCCACACTGCGCTTTGTCTCGTCAGATCATTTCTCACTGGAAGAATTGTGCATGTCTGGAATGTCCGGTTTGTGAGCCTCTCAAGACACCTGATGAAAATAAACAAAATCCAAACAATAATAACAATATTGCTGCCAATGCTGCTGCTGCTCCGGGCATGACTGGCCATCAACAGCAGCAGCAGCAACAACAACAGCAGCAGCAGCAACAACAGCAGCAGCAACTTGGGCTGCAACTCATCCACTCCCTGAGCCCTGGTCACCGCCAAACTCTGCCGGCAGGACATCAACTCAAACTCATGTCACCGAATGCTACACCGAACATGGTTGTGGGCGCTCCAAAGCTGCCCAACGTTTCCTCCTCTATGGTGAGCAGCAGTCAGTGTTAGCACATGAGGGAGAAGTGTCATGCATCAATGCATTTATTTCTTCCACTGAAGTTGAATTATTAAGATTAATATATGTTGTTTTTATAATATATTTGCAGTTTGAAGGCCGCTATCTGGTTTTGAGGAGTAAATTTTGAGGCTCAGTGACGAAGAGCTATGGAACAATTTTTCTGGTAAACTGCCTGTTTGCAAAAAATATACAAATTTTGATTTGTGGTTGCAGGGCGCAATGACTCCGAGCATGGCGGAGTCTTGGTTGAATTTGCCCAACCATCCTGGGCAGCTCCCTGGCAGCATGGTGGTGACGGCACGCCACTCAGAAGGCACCAAGGAGTGGCACCACAGCATCACTAATGAATTGCGTAACCACTTTGTGCAGAAACTGTGAGCATCATTAGTTATAACTGCACCTGATTCAAAATATAATGTCAGAGTTTGGAATAAACAATTGTTTTTGTCCGGGACCGGAATGTGGTAATAAAGGAAGCTTTGTATTATTACTTTTCTTGTATCAGTGATCAAAATTTTCAGCTTTTGTCCATGTTATTGGCTTAATTCTTATGTACGAAATGTGAACAAGTAGTCTGTCAGCAGTCTAATGCTGCAGCATTGAGATTTGAAAGTCTCACAATGGCTGTGTTGTAGAATTTAATCTATGGTATTTTACCTGTTCATGTTCTGCTGGTTCTCAGCCATTTAGACCTAGTGAAAAATAGATGCTATTTAGTCATATTTGTCAACTATATTTGATATAACCAAGAGGTGCATTTGTTGCAGCGTGCAAGCCATTCTGCCGAACCTGGAGCCCATCACAATGCAGGACCGAAGGATGCAGAACCTGGTCAACTATGCCAGAAATGTCGAGGGCGACATGTTCAATGTGGCAAGCTCAAGGGTCAGTCAGCTTGCTTGTTTTAGTTACCGGTCGGGTACTTCAGCAGACTCGGCAGCGAACTGGCCCGTGGACTCGAATCAAAACCTAACTCTACGTTCAACTCAACCAGCCATAAATCCATCAATAATGAACAGATTTAATTCAAATTTGAAATATAAGTAGATAATATCAGTAATTAGTGGACGGAATTTTTCAGATTTTTACATCAATAACTTTTTTAGTAATATCTAAAACCTAACTTCATTTTCAACTCAACCAGCCATAAATCCATCAATAATGAACGGATTTTATTCAAATTTGAAATATAGGTAGATAATATTAGTAATTTGTGGACAGAATTATTTCAGATTTTTACATCAGTTACTTTTTTCTAATGCCACAAAATACTGAAACTTGACCTGACTAGGACCTAACCTGCAAGGTGAACGTGAAGTCAGGTTTTCTGTATTAATAAAATGGTAATTGATGTAAAAATTTGAAAAAATTCCGTCCACAAATTAGTGATATTATCTACCTATATTTCATATTTGAATAAAATCCGTTCATTATTGATGGATTTATGGCTGGTTGAGTTGAAAATGAAGTTAGGTTTTCCATATTTGTAAAATAGTTATTGATGTAAAAATCTAAAAAAATTCCGTCCACAAATTACTGATATTATCTACTTCTATTTCAAATTTGAATAATATCCGATCATTATTGATGGATTTATGGCTGGTTGAGTTGAAGGCGAAGTTAGGTTTTGTAATCGAGTCCGCATGCAAGTCCGCTGAAGTGTCGATTTGGTGTTTTAGTTTGACATTTGTTAACTCAATCTGTTGACATTAATGGGGCTTCATTTTTGGGCTGATTTAATTTTTGAAACTTGTTTGTACTCGTATTGTCCTATTCTGATTTTCTAGCTCAGGCTTTAAGATGCATAAAGCTTACCCAAGTAGAAACTTCTAAATTTTTACAAATCTTTACAATTAGCAATTATTCGGACTGAAAATAACAAACTTCATTATTTCCACAGCCCGAATACTACCATCTTCTGGCTGAAAAGATCTACAAGATCGAGAAGGAACTCGAAGAGAAGCGCATGCAGCGCCGTCAGTTTCCTCGAGAAGGCCAGCCTGCCATTGATGGAACCGCTGCTCCTCCGCCCCAGTCCATGATGGGTCCTGTGAACGCTGTTGCCGTGGGCCCACACTCAGGAGGGCCCTTCCCTGCTTCCTCGGGCCTCAGCCCGTTCGGCCACCCCGCGATATCACAGCAGCAACAACAACAGTGTGTCAGACCCATGGGTTCTGTCATGGTGAAGTCCATGAACGCTTGGGGTGCTCCCGGTAATCACTCTTTCGCCGTTTATGTTCCTCCATGCTCGTTGAAGGGTCCATCTTGCACGTCCAGCTTCCCTGGAGGTGTAAGCACCATGGCTCCCTCTGTGAACAACTCCCTCAGACCGCAGCTTGCGCCTCTACCTTACATTTCAACCGCCATGAATGTCCCCAACATCCCAATTTCTGCTCCTCTAAAAGTTGCTGCGTGCAGCGGAGGTGACATCTCGAACACTTCGCTGTCACACATCTCTCAAGCTCCTAATATAGTCGCTTCCTCTAGCCCTGCTGTTACCTACAGCAGGAACTTGAGCCTCCAGTCTTCCTCGCCATGTACCTCCACAATGACAAGCTCTTCTTCTGTCCTTGCTGCCACTAGCGGATCAGCTACTCTTCCTGATGACAAAAGTGAAGTCATGAACTTCATCAAGCAAGAGCCTATGGATATGGACGTCAAGAAGGAGCTCTCGTCACCTGAGGGCGCTGATGTCAAAGTAAAGATGGAGATCAAGACAGAAGTTAAAGATGAGCCGACTTCACCTGAGAGCGACTTTCAAAGCATGTTGATGACCTCTGATGCTCCATACATCTAATGCAAGTGTGCTCTGGTTCGTGATATAAGCGATAGTAACTTAACATCACAACATGTTTTTTGGGAACCCAGTGATTGAATCAAAATCCGTTCCTAGCAGCTCAAAATAATATGTTGAGTTGCAGATTACTAAGCTTGATTTCCAGACATGTGTAGTTTTTTTATAGTTCGAATAAAAGAAATTTTAGGTACAGGTATACATCCATCATGCATATTGTCCAGCGCTCTTTTGCGCCCGTGCAGCTGTTCTTGCTGTCCTGTTTGCTCTGTCCATTTGATCTTGGGCTGATTTGATGTCAAACGGTTTGACCATAGGCTGATTTAATGCCAGGCGCTTTGATCGTGGGCTAGTCGTTCCGATTCGGTGGATGGATGTTGGCGACTCTCTGGTGTGGTGAACTGATGCTGTCAGCAGGTGCTTTCGATTTCATGACTATTTGTATTGAACTTCACTCATGCTTCTAGATTAGAATATCTAAGATTTTTCCTGCTTCAGGAATTCATGTCTAAATGTAGACGAGCAAAATATTGGTGTGTAGTTTGCGAGCGTAATTGGTGTGTACATCATAATAGTTCATAGTTTTACATTAGCTGCAAATTCAGTGAGGCTGTGATTTCTCAGTTAAGGATTTAAATTTGACTGGAGATTCGCAAATCTCTTCTGACGAGTTAAATGTGTCTGTCTCTCTCGTGCGGGCGGCCGACGTCCCGTGTAAGCGACCTCTTGTTCGAGTGTCTTCGTAACAGTTGCTTTAAACCTGTCCCTCCTTGTCACTTCGTCTCTTTGAGATGCTAACGTTACTTCTTTCGAGCCAGCTTCAGGGGGCTGGACATCCGAGATCTCCTGCCTTTTGTGGGTGATGATTAATTTGAGACTTAGAATAATTGAGACCTGCCGGCGATGTTATATTTTTTTTACCTCCGGTGCCAAATAGCTTGTAAGCTGAAGTGCTAGCAAAACATTCTACTACTACTATTTGTTGTAAGTTTTGTATATTATATGCACGAGTAGCGAACGAGGGAATTCCATGTAATATAGCATAGTATTGATGAGGCCTAATTAGCCTGTTGCCGATTCTTAACCGCCCGGTCAAATTGCCAATTTTGACCAAAACTGTCGCAGGAAGCAGGGATGTAACCCGGAACTAAACTGTCGCTGGAAGCAGGGATGTAACCCGGAACTGAACTGTCGCAGGAAGCAGGGATGTAACCCGGAACTAAACTGTCGCAGGAAGCAGGGATGTAACCCGGAACTAAACTGTCGCAGGAAGCAGGGA